CATGGGTACGTGCCGGACGTTCTCGAAGCGGAGTTGACTTTTGCTGACGATGCAAGTGTGCGTCTATCTGTACGGCCTCATCTACTGCGCGACCTGGCAGGGCATCACTTGGGTGTACTGCTCTGAGATTTTCCCCATCGGTTAGTATAAAAACCCATGGCCATGGGCGAGAGTTGAAACTGACCGTCGCAGACATCAGAATGCTCTGCACGGCCATCACGACGGCCGACCAGTGGTTCTGGAGCTTCCTCATCTCCCGCACCACGCCCTACATGATCACCTCGCTGGGCTACGGGACCTACATGTTCTTTGGCGCCCTCATGGTACTGATGGGCTTCTGGGCGCTCTTCTTCATCCCCGAAACCAAGGGCAAGTACTCCGCTGCGGCGAGGTTTCCGAGATCCGATGCTAACCAGGACCTGCAGGCCTTACCCTCGAAGATATGGACCGACTCTTCATGCAGAGCACTTGCAAGACGGTCTGGCAGGCGCTCGTGCAGCGGCGCAGCATGCAGGAGGTTCTCGAGGAGCGGCGCGCTGCGGCTCCAGTTATCGACCGGGAGAAGAAGGAGGCGTATCTCGAGCAGGTCGAGTCGGTGGACCGTCGCCGGTCGTATACGTGAGCTACACGCCTCATACAGACGATGACTGGGTGGTGGTATGTGGCTGGAGGCCATGGATGAGTGCAAGAGGCTTTATAGCTTGAGAGACGGCCCTTTGCTGGCCTTTACGTGCGACGAATGGCTGGGACTCTTGGTTTTGGTACAGAGTAGATTGCCTTGAGCCTGGCGCGAGGTGTACATACTGCGGTCGACGGATTTATAGCTCATGTTTTGTACGTTTCGCAACAGGAACTGCTGCACGCTCCGTGATTTGACGGACGTAAGCTGCCCGTAAGCGACGTTGGAGGTTGATGAACGCACCTCGCAGCCAGTCATTGGATGCCGCTCCTGGCCGTAACGTTAGCCGGAGCTGGATTGACTGGCAGCTGGAGCACGGGCTGTGCCTGGCCCGCTATGTAAGGCAGCTCCCGTCCCGCAGATCTCTAGCGCTGGGGCCGCTGCGCCGTACTGCCGCGGCGCGGGTCGCCAGGCAGAGCACCGGCGGGGCTCCAACCTGGAACTCAGCGGCCTTTTCGGTGTCCACTGGTCCAGTGCTTCAGAGCTCCAGCGGGACCTAGAAGCTTTGCCTTGGGTTTCGGAGCTCTAGAGGCCACCCATCGGCCCGCTCGAAATTGGCCCGATTCCGCCTGCGCCCAGCGGCATCCAATCCCGCCAGCCACCTTGCAATGGGCGATTGATTCTCCCCCACCTTCAGTCCCTCGCATCTGCCATCTCCTCCACTCCAACCTCTGCCACCACAGCTGGCGAACACTCTCGTCACCAAGGTGCTGCTGCTGCTGCTGCGATAGCTCTTAGGCTGTGACCTTTGCTTCGCTACGCACCCATACGCGCCCGACCTCTCGAACAGCGAGCTCCGACCATGGGCCTCCTCGAGAGCCTCGACTCGGGCGTCACAGGCCTCGTCGGGCAATGGAACGCCTACTCGACGGGGCTGGTGACGCTGCTCGTCGCCGTTGTTACCTACCGCATCATGTCGGCGCGCGAGCCCGACGTCCACCCGATGCTGCTCGCCCGCCAGACGATCCCCGCCACGGTCCGCAACGAGGGCGAGAGCGCCGTCTACCGCTCCCAGGCCGCGCCCCACGGCATGCCGCTCAACGGCGGCCTCAACGTCAAGGACCCCGGCGCCTCCAAGTGGTCGCGCGGGCGAGACGGCGACCTGCGCGACGTCTGGCGTAGGGCGGCCTCGGGCGGCGAGGACGGCGCCAAGGGCAAGATTCTGACTGTCCACGGCTCCGAAAAGGTCGTCGAGCACAAGCTGGGTACGTGGCCGACGTTACACAGGCAGAAAGCAGCATGATGGAGCTGGGGATCTTTCGCTGACAGCGCCGCAGAGGACATCACCAGGCAAATCAACATCATCGGGCGCCACATTGCCGACCAGGGCGGCATCAAGGTGGCCATCTACTTGCCCAACTCGATCGAGCTGCTCATCACCCTCTTCGCCTGCAGCTTCTACCCGAACCTGACGACCGTCCTGATCCCTTTCGATGTCTCCAGCGAGGAGCTCGTCTCCATGCTGCGCCGCTCCGCCGTCGATACCGTCGTCACCGCCCCGGGCGCCTTCCCGTTCGATGCCGTCGTCAAGGCGTACCCCTCGCTGCGCCAGCTCATCTGGGTCGTCGACGAAGGCAGCAGCCACATGGACTGGAACGAGGTGCCCGAGGGCATGGGCGGCAGCGTCAACGTGGCGACGTGGCAGGACATTGTCAACGACGCTCCCGCCGCCATCGGCGCTGAGCTTCCCGAGGTGAACCCCGAGTACAACCCGCAGGACATTGTGACGTTCTGGCAGGCCAAGCAGGGCCAGCTCGCGGAGATGGTGCGCTTCACGCAGGCCAACCTCGTTGCCGGCATCGCCGGCCAGATTGCCGCCATCCCTACCAAGGAGAGACTGAACCCGTCCGACCTCTTCCTGCCCGCCGATTCGCTGACCAACATTCACACCTTGGTGCTGACCCTGACGGCGCTGTACTCGAACGCCTCGGTCGCCCTGACCTCTGTTGCTGGACGATCACCGGACTTGGTGCTCGCGACACGGGGCGTCGCTCCCACCGTGGTGGTTGCCAGCCCCGGGACGATGCTCAAGGCTCACGCCGATTCCGCGGGAAAGCTGGCATCCGCGCTCGCCAAGCTGTCGCATAGCCTCTCGAACCGCAGCCTGACGCAGGACGGCGTCCTCCCGACGGCGCATCCTCTGGCGTCGTTCTCTGCGGGGGCTCGCCCAGCCATTGGCACGACGCCGGGCAAGCTCCGCCTGGTGTTTGTCGCCGAACGGGCGGGGGCGGACTCGCCGCACCTGTCGCCGTCGGTGCTGTCGGACCTGCGCGTCTTCACGGGCGCCAGAGTGGTGTATGCGCTGGCGGCGGCGCGCGTCGCGGGAGCCGTGAGCCAGACTGCGTTTTACGACTACAGGACAGAGGCCAGCGGCAAGGGCCACTTTGGCGCGCCGCCGACCAGCGTGGAGATTTTCCTCAAGGACAAGGGCGCGCACAAGACGACGGACGACGTAATTGAGGGCGAGGTAAGTCAATGGACACGTGCCATGGCGTGGGAGCCCAATCCCAAACCCAAATCACAGGACCTAGCCATTGGGCTAACCGGCATTTGCAGATCGTCGCACGTGGCCCTTGCGTTTCGGGAAGCGAGGTGAACATTGGGGTCGTTGGGCGCATCAGGGACGACAACACGCTGGCGTATGTTTGAGGGGGCAACGGGGGATGTGATATGCTGGCCGAGGACGGGGCCCGAGGGCCCTCGGATGCCGCGCGATGTAGGGACAAAGCACCGCACGCGCACGGCGTGAAGAGAGAAATGGATCGTACGAAGTAGGCGGTGATCATGTTGTGTGGCCTGGGAATTTACGAGCATTTGACCACTTGCACTGGAGCTGTCGGCTGGGGTGTGGCGGCGCGTGACGGTGATCGCCATCCAGGCCGACCCGCGACCGTGTCGGTGGGTCGAGAGCCCGTGGGCCGTGGCGTGGCAAGGGACAAAGCATGACAGGCATGGCAAGCATGCATGCATGGGCTGCTGCAGGCATGGCATCGTCGGCTGGCATGGGGACTTTTTATGCCGCGAGCCCGGGGCATCCGCGCTGTGGGGACGGAGGGGGGCAAAAAGTTAATTGAGGGCCGTGACGCAGCGGGCGGCATTCTGCTGAGGCGGCGAAGCAGAGAAATAGGGGTCGGGGCGCAGGGACGCGGCGGCGGCGCGCACATGCGGGTACGTTGAGGTGGGCAACAAGTCTTGAGCTCGAGACACTTTGGTGATGATGCCCGAGGTGGATTTGATGTGGATGTGATGTGATGTGATGGGCCTCGAGTTGAGAGCGAGAATAACGTACGTAGGTAGGAGTTACTTTACAATACAGCGCGAGGTTCCGTAGATGGCGCGTACAAGTTACAGTGGAGGAGGGTCCAACCTGGAATGATGCGAACGGCGAAGCGGCGACGGGTTCGGTTGCCCGCTCCGCTCCGCTTTGCCCGCCCAGGTTCTCCGGGAGGGAAAGGTGCGTGAGGTGGGCAATCACCGCCAAATCACAGCCAAATCACGACGTATGTTCCCCGTTTCGTTAGTTACCTTATTTACCTAGTCGCCGCTAGTCCGTACCCAAATGTCAGTTGGGCGTCGACCCGACCCCCGAGTCAACGGCTGCCGGCGACCGCGGGGGAGCTAGCTATTAGTTAACGTTAGCTGGCTGACAGAAACCGTTGCGTCCAGTCCAGTCCAGTCCGGCCCGGCCCAGTCCAGCTCATCAGGTCAGGCTTGCTGACGGCCGATGAGCGAGCCACCTCTCATCCCCCATACCCATCGCTTGGGGATCTGACATGCCGTCGGGGTCCCGGACGCCGACCGCAACCCTTTTTTTCCGCATTGACTTAATTTACCACGGCCCTGGCCGCCGCGCCACTCCTCGCGTCTGCATACCACCACCGCATTTCCAGCCCATCTTACCATATCCTGGGCCCTTGTTCGGGACGCCTTTCGCGCGTGCCCTCCTTCTCTCCCGCGCTTGCCTCACCCTCTTTGCGAACTGCGAACTCGAACTCGACTCGACTCGGGCCAGCAATTGAACGACCCGACCCCTGGGCTGCCCTCGCTTCGCCTATCCCGCGCGCCCCCTTCGCGAGCGACCATCCTCCTCCTCCCAAAGCCCCCCCGACCCCGCTGCCTGCAACGGCGGCAGCTTGGCACGCGCTCGGCTGCTAGGGGGGTTAACCGTACCTGCATTAGGGGTCCTCCTCCTCGTGCTGGCGCCGTCTGTGTGTCTCACCCTCGTCCTCACCCTCGCCCATCGTCCGTCGCCGCCGGGAGAGAGTGAGAGGGATCCCGGTCCGACCGGTCCCCCCGGCCAGCGCGCCGCCCAAACCCCCCCATGAAGAAGATTTCCAAGATCCTCACGGCGAGGAAGCGCCCGGACTCGGAGTCTGAAGGCGGCAGCGGCGGCAGTAGTCGGAGCCGGAGCAGCAGCCGGAGTCGAAGCCAGACGCGGAGTCGCAGCCGGGGCGGCGGCGGCAAGGACGGCGTCGCAGGAGGAGGAGCTGCGGGCGGCGTTGGTGGCGGCGGCGGCGGCGGATTCGATGCAACAGAGGTGCATCAGCTGCCGTCGCGACGCGGCACGCCCGTCTCGTTGGCCAGGCAGAAGAGCGGCCTGCTGCTCGCGCCTGCGGGCGGCAGAGACGCCGCCTTGTCGACGGGGCGCATCATAGCCGACGCCGACGACAACAACCACGACGATCGCCTCAGCGACGACGCCGACGCCGACGACAGCAGCGGCACCAGCAACGTCCCGCGACTGCGCGCCCGACAGCGAGAGCGACTGCGCCCGCGATACCGCGTCTGCGCCATCTGCGCCGCCATCAACTTCCCCCGGCTGCTCGCCTGGCAGCCCGGCAGCCCGCGGCCCTGGATCCCCCTCGCCCACGTCCTCGTGCCCCCGCCGCCGCTGCCGCCCTCGCCGCCCGCCTCCACCGACGGCACCGCCGCCTCCTCCTCGGCCTCGACCTTTGCCGCCTCCACATCGCCCTCCGCCTCCGCCGCCACCTCGCCCGCCGCCGCGCACGAGCCAACGCCGCCGCAGCCGCCGCGATGCCCCTACTGCGCCTTCTTCCAGGCCATGCTGCTCGACGCCGGCGCCGGCGGCACCTTCACGCCCTATCTGCGCATCCGCCGCGCCTTTGAGCGCCTCGGCGGCGTCGGCGAGCGCCATGCCCTTGCCGGCGAGGTCCTCGGCGAGGTCATGACGCGCAACAAGGCCCTGCCGTGGGGGTACATCATCAGGGCGGCCGAGGACGACGGCGATGTCGACGACGACGCGCAGCTCAAGCTGTATACTGCGTCTGAAGAGGACGGGCCGCCGCGCATACGCGGTCGCAACGTGACTCCCCTGCTGGACTCGCGGGTGCCGAACTGCTGGCTGGACTATTGCAGAACGCATCACGCCGATGAACCGTGCTGCGAGTCCAATGAGGGCACCCCCGTGTCGGGGTTGAGGCTCGTGGACTGCAAGGAGAAGCGAGTGATATCCGTCGACGACATCGACGGCGATACGCCGAAATATCTCACCTTCAGCTACGCATCGGACGAGCCGCACGCATCCAATGTATTACAACCCGACAACTACCTCCCAAAGAAGCTACCGACCCTCTTCCGCGATGCCATCGCCTTCACCACCTCCCTCGGCTTCCGCTACCTCTGGATCGACTGCTACTGCCTCCCCGCGCCAGAGCAGCGCGACCAGCGCACCCTCCACCTCGACCTCCTCGGCGACATCTTCTCCCGCTCCTCCCTCACCCTCATCGTCGCAGCCGGCGACGACGCCCACGGCATCGACGCCGGCATCCCCGGCGTCTCCGTCCCCCGGCCGCAGCAGCTCTCCATCAAGACCCCCGCCGGCATCTTCACCACCACGCTCCTCCGCCCGGACATTGAGGTCGCCACCTCGCCGTGGTCCGCCCGCGCGTGGACCTACGCGCAGGGGCTCTTCGCCCGGCGGCGCCTCGTCCTGACGCCGTCGCAGGCTTACTTTCAGTGCCGCACGCTGCACTGCCATGAGAGCATCGCCCTACCGCTGCGTCTCGCCCCCGGCATTAATCTCGGCCGCGTCTTTCCGCCGTACGCGGCCCCGCCGCGCCCCGCGCAGCTCCAGGATCAGATTGGCGCGTACATGGCGCTTGAGATGCCGCGGAACAAGGACCGGCTCGACGGCTTCAGAGCGGTACTCCGTGAGTACACGCGTTTGCCGGGCTTGGCTGTGGACAACTTTAGCGGCCTGCCGCTCTTCCATCCGGACGCCTTTGTCAACGTCAACGTCGTAAGCCAGACGGACCGGCTTGCGATTGGTCTTGGCTGGACGCCCGAGCGAGCCCTCACGCCATCACAGTCCTCAGTCGAGAGCGACCTTCCCGAGCCGGGTTACTCCCTGGCCCCTGACGCGGCATTCCCATCATGGACGTGGCTAGCCTGGGCGCCGCGCGAGGAAGCCAGGCGGCGCTCCGCCGCCTCCGGAAGCATGACGGCCGCAACGGCGGTGCAATCAACCGCCTTCCACTTCCACCTCCTCGGCGAGGCGTCCCCCATCGTCGACGGCGCCTGCTCCGCCCCGCGCATGGAAATCTCCGTGGGGTTCGCCGACGGCGCGGTCCTCTCCTGGGAGATTGACGGCGACGCCATCAGGAAAAAGGGGGAGAGCGTCGAGTTCCTCCGCCTGGAGACGTACTGCTTCAATGTGATGGTGCGGCGCGACGGCAGCAACTCGTTTGTCCTGGACGAGGGGGGCTTGCCGGCGCCCGTCGCGGCGACTATACTATCGTGGGTTCGCGCATCGCCTCCCCTACCAGCGAGGACCTCATCAGCAGCGGCATCGCCCTCCGCATCATCATCGTCATCTAGTCCGCCCCCCAACCGCGGCGATTCGCCCAAGGCGCCATCATCCCCGCCGACAGCCAGCGCGCCGCAAACCCCCGGCTACTGCCTCGTCGCGGTGCTCATCTCCGGCCGCAACTGGAAACCCCCCGCCCCCTCCACCCTCGCTACCGGCAGCGGCGGCGGTAGCGGCAGTGGCGGCGGCGCCGCCACGCTGCTCGTCTGCCACCACCGCAACTGGGACCCCTCCGCGCCGCTCGTCCGCCTCGGCGCCGTGGGGATCGACTTCGACGTCCTCGCCACGGACGAGCCGCACCTCGGCTCCGCGGTCCTCCGGGGCGTGCGCCGTCCCGGGCCGGGCCAGGCGGCGCACGGCCGCGGCAGCGTCGACGACGGCAAGTCCTCGTCCTCGTCCGCCGGCGCCGGTGGTGGTGGTGGCGGGAGCAGGAGGAGCAGCGGCACGACTAGTACCACCGCGGGCGGTGAGCGTGCGGACATCGAGGTCCGCCGGCGCGAGCTGGACCTGTATTAGACAGGGGAGAGGCAAGGAGCGGCGCCTGTTCATATGGGGATCCCATTTTGCATATATATACAAGACAGGTGTACTGGTACATCGGATGGAGATGGGCATATCTACTTACCTAGTAGTACTTACCCGTCAGCCAACATGCATGCACGACGGGACTAAAAGCTATATATAACATGGCCTTGACAGACACACAGGCATATCCATATAAGGCGCAGAGGGCATTCAAGCTTTTAGCACGCGGAGGGACATTTCCGCAGTATTTCAAGATATCAATCAAGCGATTAGAGACAGTATTCATGATAGGGTATCCGAGCATTGATGTGAACCGCTTCCATCGTCAATCACCTCGTCGCCATGCTAGCCAACGCACGTTCATCTTGCCAATGTTCGGCCCCTCCTTGCCAGCGACGCCCAGGACCTGTCCACCTCGGCCGGCTACTGCGCCTCCAAGATGGCCCGCTTGGACATGTCATCGTGGATCCAGCCCACGATGCGGCTCCCCACGTCGCCAACCAGCTGCTCGTAGTGCGGTCCAGGGGCAAACAGCCCGCAGTGCGCGCCCACCTCGTCCATGCCATCCATGTACACGTCTACCCACGTCGCGTCGCGCGCGCCATTTGTCTTGCCAGGCAGATTGCAGAACTTGCGCAGTTTCCTCGGCTTGTCCCCATCAGCTGCCGTGGCGGCCTTCTCGGTCACGCCATGGGGACTTTCTGTGTCGTCAAAATGCGAATCGGCGACCGAGGCATGGGCCTGGTACTCGGCAGCTTGCCTAGCCTCTGCGAGTCGCTTCTTTTCCTCCTTGTCCAGGCGCATCTGCTCCTTTTGCGCCCTCTTCTCCACCTTGTCTGCGTCCTTTTGCGCCTTCTTGCGACGCTTCTCGAGAAGCTTGTCCCGCTCGCGGATGGCCTTGGCACGGTCCTTGACAGCCTGGGCGTAGTTCTTTTGCATGCGCTTCGACTCTCTCTCCGCTTGCTTGCGAGCGTCCTTGTCGGTAAAGGCGTCCAGGTCTGGCAGAGTAGGCTGCTGTGGCTCATCGGGGATTGGCGGAAGCACCAAGTCGTCTGATACGGTTTCTACACGTAGCTCTGGGTCAGGCCTTGGCTCAAGATCTGGTTCATCTTCCATTGGCGTCGGATCGATGTCTTGCATAGACAACATTGAAATGCGAGTGAGCTCGCGAGGCGAGGCTGCATCATCGACAACCTCTTCGCCCAAGCTACTCGACTCGTCATGATCTCGAGAAGAAGGCTGCTCGGGCTCTTCGTCTGCGGGGGCTTCCACGGAGATTCGGGGGGTTGAGATACTAGACCCTGAGGCACGATGGCTACTTGCTTCTACATCGAGCAGGGATATTGTTTGGTCCGGCTCCTTTGTTAACTCGTAAGAGTCTTTCTCGAGCTCTGAAGCATTGTCACCCGGGAGACTCGGGTCAGACAGAGGATCCAAGTCGCTTGGGTCGCAGGCATCGGGCGGGGGAGACTTTGGAACCTTTGGCCGACCGGGGGACAGAGTGTAATAGTTGGCGAAGCGCACCCTCGCATATGCTGCCGAGGGGTGGCCGTCATTGACAGCCTGCAGCTCATCGACGTTCTCGAGCGCGCGCAGTCTGTTGTACCTCGTAACGAGGCCACGGTAGTCGGCTAAGCAGCCCCCGAACTCAAGGTGGGAGACCACATGGTTCCTGACGGCGTGGAGGATGCCCTCAGACCTGTGCTTCGAAGCAAAGTTCGCGAGGCGCTTTATAAAAGGGCGCTCTCTGAAAGGCTCGTCGTTCCAGTACGGAGGGTCATAGTGGGGATCGTCGTTCTCTCGCGCCGGGTAAGACGAGAAGGAGGAGGCGGAAGAATCAAGTCTCGAATCTATGGATGATGCCGGCGCCAGTGATGCCGGAGCCGAGGGAGGGGATGGCGGCACATCGTCGTGGATCTCATCAGGTGATTTTGGGGCTGGCTGAAACAGGCTGGAGATGCCTGACACGACGATGCCGGGGTGGAGACCCAGAAAGGGGGAGTCGAGAGATAGAGTTCCTATGATCTTGTGCTTGAACGCCTGGTGATGGTATGGGCTCTGATTGGGCTTGAGATACGAAGAACGGTCAACGACATGTACGCCCAGCCAGTTGACAGGGGTTCACGTACCATGAGGACCACCTCCCCGGCGAGCAAACCGCCCATCGAATGCCCAACAAGAATGACATCAGTGGTCGGGGACTCGTGCGGCTCCAGCCAGGCACTAAAGTTATCACGGGCGACCTCGATGGCCTTGTATGTCTTGTAACGAGGGTAGATTTTGGAGTGGATCACATGAGAGTCTGCGAGTAGGGTGCGCAGCAAGGAATGGACGTGGGCCGGAAAGGACCTGAAGGACTGGTCATTGCCGTAGAAGCCGTGGATGTAAATGATGAGCAAGGTCCGCCGCGAGCCGTCATCGTCATCGGCGAGCGATGGTACCAGCGACTGCGTCGAGGAGCTGCGGGGATCGCCACGGAGGAGCTCGAGGTGGCCCGGAGACGTCGAGCCGGCATGCGGCATGCGGTCCGTTGCGCCTGGGGCGCGGGGCGGGAGCTGCGGAAGGGAGGCCATGATGATGCCTCGATGGCCATCTACGAGGTCCTGCAGTTCTGTTGGGAAGGGTCCAGGGTCAGATCGAGGCCCTTGGAAGAGGAGCTTGGCCGTTGACAGCGGGCTGGTCCATGTCTCAGATTGGCGTGTCTGCCGCGCAGCCTGTCCGTCTGTCTGTCCGTCAACCAGGGAAATTCGCAATGATGCCAGTGAATCACCAGGATCGGCGCGGGGATGCTGACTGTTGGGCTGGCGTCGTCTCCTCTGGCGTCAAGTGCGTTGCGTGTTGGACGGCTTTGGAGGGGCGGAGGGACCACGGCCCCACCTCATCATGGGCCGCGCGCCTGTCTCATCGGGGGGAGGGGACGACTGGGGGTTTTCCACTGCCCTGTGCCGCAGAGAGTGAACTGTAGGTACGTACTTCGCGCCTGACCACCTGGCACTTGCTCGCGAGCACGCAGGCAGACGGCCACTTGTTGCTGCGCTTGTTCTACTGCTGCTATTGTTGGCATGGCCCACGTTTGGCTTGTTTCCCGCAGGGCGGAGACGCATGGCCGTACATCCTAGACGTACTTGGTGTCGACGTAAAACAACACCAACCTGTGGTTCCTCGTATCGCGCGGGGACTGTACTCCATAATCCATACAGCGCTGCGCTCGTACTCGTGCTTGCCACGTACATACGCACGTATTGCACAAAGCGGGCCGGGAAGCGAGGGTCCAGCCTCTTGACGGCGTACCGGAGCGGCGGGTTGGACGAGGTGACGCTGCCACGCTCGTGAGCGGGCACCGCGGGCTGCATGCGCGGCGTCGTGCGAGGCCGGCCAGTGGCTTTTTCGCGATGGGCCATTTGTGTTGGCTGCCGCAGCCATCATGATTCAACCGGGGACTAACTTGACTACTGCAGTACGGCGCCGGTGCGTGTGCCTGGATGCAAAGAGAATGCATGGAATGGACATGGCGGCCGGTGGCATTGGCGTCGGCGCGACGCTACTCGCGCAAGCGCATGCCAGTCGGCAGGGGTTCCGCGGCGGTGATGCTCACGAGAGCGCGTGGTCAGGTATGCGGGAGAGACAAGCGCAAGGCGTCGTGCTAGCTGGCGTGACGGGCAGCCGCGGTTCATGAAGATGCAAGGCCGCAATAGCGTCGACATGCTGTGCGAGCGAGGACGAGTAGAGTAGACGAGCGACGCGCATGCGACACTACCTATCCACGCATGTATCAGGTGTGTCGTACGGCTCGGTACCGCACAGCGGCTGCACTGCGCTGCAGCGTGTCCATCTGCCAGCAATGCCCGGCGCTGCAAGGAAGCACTGCATTCGCGCCTGCCTGCCTGCCTGCCTGCCTGCCTGCCTTCTTTGTTTGTTTGTCTGTCTGTCTGCCTGCCTGCTGCGATGCACGGACGCTCAGTGGCTCAGTGGTTCAGTGGTTCAACCAGGTTATTATCCATCGCGATCTGGCGCCCAGGGTCGCTGCTGCCCCGTGCCGTCTCGACCGCGTACCTAGCGCAAGGCCCGGTTGGTGGGCACCTACCAGGTCCCCAAGGTAGGTCCCGTCAGGTACGAAAACGGTACCTGGCCGTCCAACTGTAGCGCCCCAACCGACCTCGTACCTGGCCCGGCCCCAGCACCCGACACCCATTGGCGGCAGCACCCCTGTCGGCGGCCCCCCTGTCGTGGCTCTTGGCCCCGCCAGAAGCGAAATGAAGCTCCGTGTCTGCGCAGGCCAGGCGTCGGCCACAGCGCCCAGACGGGCTTGATGGGGGCCTCATTTCATTTCCACAGCGGAAGCATCCAACCTTGCTCTGCCCATCGTCTCATTCTTCCGTGACTGGGAGGTGTGTGTCGGGTGTGGCTCGTCGTGTCTTCGTCCCTCGCCAGTCTTTTCCCGCTCCTCCTCTCCTTTCTCCCCTTTCTGTTTCGTCCCGTGCTCGTGCATGCAAAAACATCGCCAGCGGTCGTTCCTCGACTGCTTCCATCCGCGCGTCGCCGTCGCTCGCCATGCCCTCTGTCCCCTCGTCGGCCGCCCGGCGTGACTGAGGTGAGGAATCAGAACCCACAGGGCTGTCAAGATCCCCACGAGCCCGTGCTGGACCAACGCCGAACAACAAAGCCGCGCCGCACCGCAGGCCCGCCCACCGCTCCCAGCACGTCAGTCTTTTCCGCCGGCACCGCCCGCCGCCCGCTCTCTTACAACCTAGCCAGCCCGCCTGCGTGCCTGCCTCCAGGCCTGCATTTCGCGGCCCGCCTTGAGTTTCTCTGTGCAGGCCAACTTTGGTCCATCCTCGCGTGTTCTGTCAATCGCTTCCTCCAATCGACAGCGACGAATGGCCGTGACGATGATGACGACAACGCGCCCGAGCTTCGAAAAATAGAATTCAAAATTCGATCGCCGGCCCTCGTTCCATAGCCAAGACAAGGCCCCGCCCCTCCGACCTCTCACCATTGGGCCTCGTCTTTTCGGATACGATCGTCGCCTGTTCGCTCGGCAGCCTCTGCACTGCCCGCCGGGCGCTGCGCTGTTACCACCGTCACCATGACTAACCCATCTCACGGGCCTTCACTCCTTCAGGCCCGTGAGGACACTCGTTCACAACCCCATCCGCACTCCTTGTTCCATCGCCGTCGCCAACCAGACGGCCCACGCGGCACCACGCAAACACATCACGAACACCATCGTTATCCACGCGAAGCTCCCGCCGACGATAGGCCTCGCGCCGAGCCTGGGGCCGACGACACGGCCCAAGCACCTCCGACGGCGGTGGCACGCGACATTGCCGGCGACGTGGTCCAACGCGACGCAGCGTTTGCCGGCGCCGGCGTCGACACCGTCGTCAATGTCATAAAGGATCCCGGCAGTCCTTTCGTTACTCGCGTCGTTCAGACCGTCTCACTCGTTCAGGTCGTCGACCCTTGGGGCAAACCCTGGGAGACCCGAACCGTCCTCGGGCCCCCCAACACCGTTGTCCTCGACCCTTCTGGCAACACCGTCGCCGTGACTGCCGCCGGTCTTCACGCTACCGTCGCCGCCTTCGGCGCCACGCCGAGCACAACAGCGACCACGGCACCCGAGTCGGACACCGACAGCACGGCACCCCCTACCACGGAACCATCGCAGGCTTCTAGCCTGACGTCCAGTCCTTCTCACACCCCATCTACATATCCCATCATCAGTGATGCTCGCAACGGAACAAACAGTAAGCTTTGCCGCGGGCTCCCCCAGTTTGTCACAAAGGCATGTCACCACTAATCACCGATTCCAGCCCTTCTTCATGGGAACTCCTCATTCGTTCACTCAAATTCTTCATCGTACCGAACATCGGCACTTTCCACTACTACCTCACTGTCTTTTACCTCCACGAGCACAGACTCTACTTCGGAGGAGTCGTCGGTGACGACTACCAGCTCCGAAATTTCGACAACAGCGTCAAGCACCCACCTAACAACGACTACCACATCATCCTTTACACTACTTGGCGGGGGATTCGTAGCGACCAAACCCGCGGATGGCGCTCAGCCGTCACCCACATCTGACTCGGGTGGCCATTCTCCCGACAAGCTTTCTCCACAGCAGAAGCAGGTCATTGGCGGCGTCGTTGGAAGCATCGCCGGGGTCGCTTTTCTGGCGCTCCTGGTGTTGCTCGCCCTCAAGTACAAAAGACGGAGAGACGGACGGCAATTGATCGGAGGCGGTCAATCCGGCCAGGACGCATCACGAAGTATCACTGGCGGGGATGGCGGTTCCGGCGCCTCGAGGGCCATGGCCGAGAGGTCAGGTCCCTCAGCGGCGGTCACGGCCGCTCTTGCCACGTTGACGGGGAAACGAAATGCACGCCAGACAGCCTCATCTTCTGAAGGAACCGAGCGAGGTTTCTACCGAGTGTCTGGGAGGAAATTACCTTCCGTCCTGCACACGGGCGGTGATGGATACTCGGATCCCAGAGAGAGCACCATAAGAGAGAGCACCATCAGCGGCAGCTCAGATTACTATCGGGGCTCGCAGTCGTTCGACCCTGCAGCCGTTCAAGCCGGACATTTGGCGCTGGGCGCACCGATGCGACCCGTCAGCGGCGTGCCGGTCATGCGTTCTGGACCTGCCCGCGTTCCCGTTACGGAGAATCCCTTCGACGACCCAGCGACACCCACGTCACCAACCGACATGTCGAGTCGAAACTTGGGTTCCCGCGAGAGCCCACGGGCGCAAGGGTCGAGGTTCCAGGAGGGGATCTGACGAAGACATTTTGATGTACATTTTCTTCCATTGCATCGCGCGCGAGGCGCCTGTGCTTATTTAATGGCCCCTCGGGGGGCCGTTGCCCTATGACGAGCCATCTCTGCGACATCACTGGGCGTTTACATGGCGTGTTTACTTGGTATCTGAAGCGGATGCAATCAGTTGAATACAAGAGTGTCTTCTGAGAGAAGACTATCTGCAATATATTGCCTCTCTAGGCTTCCAACCACGCATGTGAAACGTGTCACTGTCAATGGCAATGTAAATTCACGAGATGAGACTTTTGGTTGCGTCTTTACGAAGGGCGACGACACACTCGAGTTCACGGCGGTCGCGCGCTGAAAGCCCCGCCATTCATAGTATGCTACTCCAATCATTCCGTGCATATAGTAAATATTGTACGGTGCGTTGGCACCACAGCCTTTTCTAGAATTTGAGGCTCTGTGTCGTTATTTCTCCTTGCCAATCGAGCGGCTCTAAATTTAGGCCGAGTCAAAAATAGCGCCAGCCTCATCAACGCCATGCTGACTGTACAAACGGCTGGCGGGGACAGCCCGGTGAGTCTGCTCGGCCATAATACCCTGCACAATAGTACCGACACCCAGGGCAACCAGGGAGCCGTGCAGCGCTCGTCCATATCACGACATGAGCGGGACGAAGCGCGACGAGCGATCTAGACCGTATTTCGCATGAGTAGATAAGTGAGGCGGCTCCGACTGACGACATGTCACTCGTAACTACTGTTCTCTTGTAATCCGAGAGCGCGCACGGCCTTGTCCCGTTGCGATGCTGGCCCTCGGATGTGAGACGGGAGTGAAACGGCCAGGACGAAAAGGGTTGCAAGCCTCTGCTCGAGACGCCAAAGAATGACGCACCAGTCTGGGGGTTTGGGGGGGCCACGACTGACAAATCTCGGGGTCCAGCCCGCTTTTTTGCACCGCCTCCCCGTCGACAGTTGCGTAGCGCTGGCTGGTGTGGATGTCGGGAAGGTAGGTAGCGGCAGTGGCGGCGTTTGGCGGAGCGGAGTTTGGGCTTGAGGGGCTTGCTGGTGACTTGGAGTTGTGTCTGGGACGTGAACTCTATGAGCCTGAGCCCTGATTCTGTGTGTTCCCCAGGGCTCGTGAGGTCTACGAGCGTTCAGCTTGACAAGACGAGAAGTAAGCCATGATGCCTTTCCGCACAGACTTACAGTACCTGTAAGCGTTGGTCAGAAATAGACCAAGCCCTACCAAGCCTCTCTCGGGACGGCCAAAGCCGAGTCAATCGGACCAATACGGCGAAGTAAACGGGTGTCACCTCCAAGAAGGCTCGGAGAGATCTTCCGCCTCAGCGGTTCATGGGAGGCATGGTGCAGTTTGCCAAGACCGCTACCCTCGTTCTGAGGCAGATCCGAGTCGAGACCCGGGTATCATCAGCACGCGGAACTGATGTCAGAAGGCCAGACAGCATGAAAATTTCAAGCACCGAACGAGCCGGCGGCGCTGGCCGGTGTTTGAACGCTTTGATATTCGTCATACCTTGCACAGGGGCAGTCGAGCAAGACAGCGCGCGGCGGCCCACGTGCGAGACGATTCAGGCATGGCAAGGCTGCAGGCGCAGCGACGCACCCTGACCAAATGTGTCACGATTGGCCAGACGAGTCTTGATGTTTCGCGATGCGTTGCTATCGACAAAGATGGAGCTTAGGGACGAGACTGGTTCCCGAACGAGGCGGCTTCTTCGAGCACCTCGTGGAAAACAGGCTGGAAGACAAGCCGGGGACAACACCAGCAGCGTTGACGGCTTTTGCACTGATCAATGATGCATCTGGCATTGGTGAACCTCAAGTCGCACAGTCGACACAGATTGGGTAGGTAGATGGATGACCGGCGATGGATGAAGCGTGCTTGGCAGATGAAACAGGCATCAGGAGGCAACAGTTGCGACAAGTCAACGATTGCGCGATATGCCCAGAGCTTCGGATCGTGGCTGGCGGCACTGTGATCCGAAGCAGGAGTATGAAGTGCAACAATGTTAGCTTGATATGTAGAAGAAGTTTAGGCTACCGCTGTGCGCATGTCCTCACTGACGCGGGAGAGGGGGTTGTGTGAATTCGTCGACTTGTTCACGTCTCAGGCGAGGAGCCAAAACATCAAACAGCCGGGGTAGCTAGACTCGGTACCGTCATCACGGTCGGTAGACGCCCGACCACCAACTCGGCGGACCTATGGCAGGCTGAACGGAAGACTGGCAACCTTTTGCATGGAGTCTCGCGTTCTGAAGCCAAGGTGGACCCTGTCGACGGGTGGCTTGCAAGAGAATGCTGCAGGTGTGCGCCAGAGAGGTCAGCGGCGAAGGATGGGCGGCATGGCCCAAAGAGGGTTGGATCCTCTCCGGTCCTGACCACCATCCATGGGAGCGGCCATGGTCCACGGATCCCGACTGCGCCTCCACGGAGCGCGCGCAAGGGTCGCGGACTCCTGGACTGCCGTTGCTGGCGCCTACTTGTCAGTGAAGTGTGGTGGGTGCGTGGGGTGGCCGCGACCGCTGGAGCGTCTATTGCTTGGGGGCGCGCCGCTGACGGCGACTTGGCCTGGAATAGAGCAGCGAGGCGGTGTTGTCGACAGAATAGAAGCCGGGCCGAGTGATCCCAGCGCGAGGTTTGAATGAAAAGGTACCCTCCACAGTGACCTGGCCTTGCGGCGAGGCAGGGCGACAGCGGCAGGGCGACGGGTGGCGGAGGCAGGTCCGACCGGGGGGCAGAACGGCAGGCGCGGGCGCGCGTTGCGGAGCCGGGTCGCTCCTGCTTCCTGCTGCTGCAGATGCGGCGGACCAGACTCCAAGTCTCCAACCAGACGCCAGTCACTGAGGCAGGTATCCAGCCAGACAACCTTGCTCGTTCCTGCCCTGCCCGAACCTCAGGTTCCAGTCCCGGCATAGGCCACTCCAGGCCAGGCCACCCCAGGCACTAACTTTAGTGCCTCCTTGCCAAAGTCGATTGCAGCCCGTTGACGCGTTAATAATTGTCTTGCTGCGTCCTGGCCAAGAGTCAGCCCACCTTTTCGTCTTAATTGCCGGTGCCGTCCGCGTTCTCCTCCAGGCTCACCGTCCGCCCGTCCCCACGGTCCCGTTCTTTGCTCGGCTCCTGTCTCGTTCACAGCACGCAGCACGCGGGCTGCGGAGATTGACAGACGTGACCGGCCTGTGCAGCCAACCGCGGTTCTACCCAACTACCTTGCCTATTACTACTACCGAGGCTCGCAGCCCAAGTCTTCTCTCACAGCGATTGTCGGATTCCTCTGTTGTACTGTGCTGAGCGTCACAGCATCACTGTGCCTTATTGGACCTCACCTCGCCGCACTAACCAGCGCTCTGGGCTCTGCACCGCCCGTCGGCTCGTCCCCGCCACCGCCGCTTCTCGACAACGGCCGAAACGTCCGTGACCCAGCCCCTGCTGTCACCTCGGCCTCTGCATCACCTCTCGACCCTCGTGCGACCGCAACCTTGCAAGAGACAAGAGACAGCGGGCTGCGACGGCGCAAAGTCTCGACAAGTACGCAGCCCACCGCCGAACCGATTCCGCAGCTTCCCGCCTCAGCCAACCGAGCAGTTGCCACTCGATACGCGCATACAGCCTCACTATCGCTTTGCCCGTCGTGCGCTTGAATTTGCTCCCACGCGGGCCGCGCTCGACGTACCTCTGGCCACGCTCGCCGCGCCTCGCCCATTCGTCAACGCCGACTTCCACGACTTCCGCCGCGTCCGCCGCGCCGGCTTGAGACGTCGCCATGGACCACATGGGCTTCCAGATACCGGGCATGGCGCCGCCGCCATTGATCAATCAGCCGCCCCAGATCTTCGGGTCGTACGGCCCGGACGGCCTCCCACAAATGCCCCCGGATCTTGCCTCGCACATGTTCCCCGACGCTCACTTGCTCATGGAGGACACCAACGAGGCCAAGAGGCGGCGCATTGCTAGGGTACAGTGGACTTCAATCCCCACCTTCGTGATGAGCGTTGGTCCTGACGTCAAGTTCTCTCTAGGCCTGCGACATGTGTCGCAAGAAGAAGATTAAATGCGACGGCAAGCTGCCCTCATGCACGCATTGCATCAACTACAAGACCGACTGTGTCTTTACGCAAGTCGAAAAGAAGCGCAGTCCTCCAAAGGGGTACGATCGAATCGCTGGCCACTGCCATGGGTTCAGGAGCTGACGAATCTGCAGCGCCAAATACATCGAGGGCTTGGAGAACCGATTGGGGCGGATGGAGCACCTTTTGCGTCTTTCAGGTATGTTTGGTCCAGTTAATGAACCTGGTGTGCGGCTCCAGTCGCTGACCATTCCTGCAGGGCTCCTGGGAGAGGACGAAAACGGCGCGACCGACCTGGGAGAGCTGGAAAGGAAGCTCACCGAGAAGACTCGCCAGGCGTCCACGGCTGCAACAGCCTCGAACCCGACGTCGCCGTCCCTAGGCACGGCTGCAGCGGAAAACACATCAACGCCTCAGAGCGCGTTGACGTCGCCGGAGCCGACCAAGGAGAGTCACAAGGATGACAAGCGCAAGTCCATTACGCCCGCGGAGGACAGTCAAGGGGAAGAGGAAGTCGAGGCTCTCTCTGAAATGATGTGCTCACTCGTTACCAACCAGTGTGGCGAAACTCGATACATTGGTGAGCCGAAATCCATTGCTGGGCTTTGCACAAATCTTGGCTAACCGAGTCAGGTTCTTCGTCCGGCTTCTCCATCTTCTCGCCCAGGGGCATACAATGGGTCAACGAAAAGACGGGCGACGACTCCTTCTCAAAGATGATATCGGAGGTGTCGGTGGACGACCACAAGTGGACCAACTGGAAGCCCGAGGTCTTTGGCGACCTCTTCCAGCGACCTGTTTTCCGAGCCCTGCCGCCCAAGCCTGAAGCCCTATCGCTTCTCAACGATTACTTTGAGAACTTCAACTGCATGTTCCCGCTTTTCCATCAGCCCACCTTCATGCACCTCGTCGAGCGCCAATACTCTTCCGACCCTTACCAGGGGTCTGGATGGTGGGCCAGCCTAAACTGTGCCTTGGCAATCGCGCATCGTCTCCGCGTCATGAGCAACCTGGTTCCTCAAGAGGAGGACGACAAGGCTTGGGCGTACCTGAAGAATGCCATGGGAGTCTTCTCGGAGCTGGCCATGCGAAACACGGACTTGCTCAGCGTCCAGGCCCTTCTGGGCATGGCGCTGTTCATGCAAGGTACACCGAACCCGCAACCGACGTCGCTCCTGATCGCCGCCGCTATCCGTCTGTCACACAGCATCGGCCTGCACAAGCGCGGCACGGGCTTCAACCTGAACCCCATCGAGATTGAACAGCGCAAACGAGTCTTTTGGATCGCCTACATGCTCGACAAGGATCTGTGCTTGCGTTCCGGACGACCCGCGGCTCAGGATGACGATGACATGAACGTCGACCTGCCAGACGCCGACCCTGCGGACAATATTGGCAATATCCCCCTGGCGGATGGCAAGGGCAAGATGAACCTCTTCCGCCTCATGTGCGAATTCACCGTCATCGAGAGCAACGTTTACAAACGCTTGTATTCGACTAAGGCGACCAAGCAGTCCGTCGGGGAGCTTCTCAACACCATCGGCGAGCTTGATCAGGAGCTTGAGGAATGGAAGGACAAGATCCCAATCGACTTCCGTCCCGAACACGAGATCAAGGCGTCGCACACGCCCCTGATTCTGCACATTGTCATGCTGCACTTTACCTACTATAACTGCTTGACAACCATCCATCGGATGTCGATTCATCATGGGTTCTGGACAAGTAGGCTGTCAAATTACGCCATCCAGGGTCTCAACGCTCGGCCGCTGAACCCGAGAATCTTTTCGTCCGCCGCCCTCTGCACAGCGGCCGCTCGGGCGTCCATTTCATTGTTGAAATACGTGCCCCAAGGCGACTTTAGCTGCGTCTGGTGAGTCTTGCACGAAGACCCCTATTAGTTCAATCTACTAACACTGACACAGGCTGATCTTGTATTTCCCGGTGTCCGCTCTCATGACGCTGTTCAGCAACATCCTTCAAAACCCGTTGGACCCTCGTGCCAAGTCCGATACGCGTTTGATGAACTTGGTAGTGACGTTCCTGTCCATGCTGGGGCAAGAGGCAGAACAAGGAGGCGTGCATCGGATGCTCGGCGTCTGCTCCGAGTTCGTACGCATCGCCAAGGTGGTCATTGAAAAGGCAGAAAAGGATCAGGCGTCCCGTCGCAAGCGCAAGAACGTCGACGCCCCGAGCAAGCCGTCAGCACAGTCAACAACGCCCAGCAAGCCCGCGAACGCCTTGGCCGCGAGCGGCCCGTCCACCGAGACTCCCCGGCCGGCAACCGCGACTACGACAACGCCGACGCCCATGAACATCACCGCCACCATGAGCAGCTCCCATCTGTCCCCGGGGTCGGGATCCGATCGCGGAAGCTCGCACGGTCCTGCCACTGGCACAGGGTCGTCCAGAAACGAGCCGTCACCCTCCATCAGCTCAGCAGGGTGGCCGCAAGAGTTCCAGCTGCCGCAAAATGGAGATCTCGAGTCGTATAGCAATATGCAAGGGTTCGGTGGGGCTGTCCAGTCCCCTCCCATGCCCATGGGAGCCGGTTCCTTCCAACAGCCTCTGCTGCCGCAGGATCTTTTCGGCCTCCCTGCCACCCTTGACTGGAGCTGGGCCGAGATGAGCGGCGGCGCGTATCCGACGGTCGAAAATGGCAACTTTGGCGAAGATGACCGCGATATGGGCGGCCAACAATAGTACCCTCTGGCGCTGAGCCTTGCCGGTCAAAAAGCACCTGACGAGGTCGCATTCCTTCCACATGTGTGTCGAAAGGCACTCACGGTGTAGTGCACGCCGCCCTGACGAGTTACGGGACACGAGATACCATACCTCTTTTTGCAATTTGTATTTCTCTTTGCAGCTTTGGCTCTGACTTGAGGTCTATTTCTTGACATCTTTTTTACTTGGTTGAATCTCCTCTTCATTCTTGGGTTAAAGAGTAATCACGGACGGAAATCTTTGTTTGACGGGCGAACGCGGTCTACGGGTATGAGCTGAAAGGGCATCTAATCGGGGCGAGGGCGGGCATTCTGTCTGGGCTGTGTTCCCGCTGAGATCTGTATTCGGTGTCTAAAACATGCTTATGTAGGAGAAACGGAAGTTGCGAAAGTAAATGAGACGCTCCGTGAGAAGCATGTTCTATATCCCAACTTTGTGGCCGGCTGTTCGAAACAGAGCGACTACAACCCTGAAAAGCGGGACCACGGCACTCAGATCAAAAGTCACACAAGAATGATTGCAGTATCCGCTGTAGGTAAATGGCTATCTCTTTGTTAGCTGTATCTACCTCCGGTAGCGCTCAAAGCCGTGGCGGAGCGACTCCTAGCAGTCCACAAGGCAGTCAAGCCGCCCAGGGCATGTCAACAGAGCCATCCTCTGGACGAGACGCCGTGTGCACTCATATGCCGATTAGGGACCGCCAGGCGCGACTCGAAATAGTCTGCGAGCAAGCCATTTCCGTCAAATCTGCTTTGGCCGAGGGGCCAGGACGAAAGCCCAAATCATCGCGCAGAGAAACAATCGCATAACGCAGCTGCAAATGCAGGCTGCCGTTCATACCCTTTCCGGGTCATATTTACCTGTCCGCCAACGCCGTGCTTGTCGAGGAGAAAAAAGGTCAAAAAGACTGAAACTTGGCATCCTTGTTCCAGCCCGAAATGCAAAGCCACACAGGCCGTTTCTCTGTGTGCCGAAACCCTCATGCATCGTATCATACCCCCTGTACATGTCATTATAACCGATGCTGAAAAACTTTTTTGTTTGATCCCTCTCGGTCGTGCGCGGAAGAATCATCGCAGGCATTCTTGTTCCGTGCGCATCGGCCGTGCTGTATCCCTGCTGGGAAGAGAAGGTCTCGTCGCGTGGGCGTCCGAGAGCGAGAAAATCAATGGGTATCTCTTGGGCAGAAACGCAAATCGCAACGCCGAACTCATGCCCCAACCATGCCGGGCCCGTAGCTCTGTTGACGCATGGTGGGATAGGGAGGCGTATTCCCCGAGCTCTGTGTCGCGTCAGAGGTGTGCAAGCCATCATCGCCACGATCTGGAATGCCCACCTTCTTTCGCCGTTTCTGCCCGCCCTCACCTTCTCCTGTAGAGTATCCCGTATCATCATCGGGGAAGCCCTCTTGGTAGCCCTCGTAGCTCGAATCCCCGTACGATCGCTTCTTAATGTTTCGCCGCGGCCTCAAAAGGTCCTGCCCCGTCGGCACCTGCGGTTTCGAACGACCTATGGCGTTGGGTGATGAAGCCAACGGCGTGTTGGGCGCGGATGGCTTCGCGGACACGGGCTTGGACGCCTCCCCGCTGCCTGGGGCCACATCGCCCAAGACGGAGCTATCCCAAATGCCCCTGGGAATAGGTCCCTTGGCCATGGTCATGGCGCGTCCCATAGCAGACATAGTAGCTTGCGAAAGCCCGTCGGTGATCTCTCGGCCCTTAACCTGATGAACACTCCACTCGAGCTCTGGCACCTGGAGCATGGCCAGGAAATCGGAGGGTTCGCCCTCTTTCTTTTTCTGGACATCGAAATGGCCAGCGACGCCTAATCGCTTAATGTGGCCCTTGTAAGTCTTGCGGAGTGCATTCTTCTCGCCATTTGGCTTTTCACGGGCGACTTCGGCGGCCAGGCTGGTGAGGCCGTACTTGGCGTACAGATCTTCCGAGGTTCGCGGGTGCGGCTCTGGATGCACTATACATGGCTGCGTTAACAAACAGTCTGCTGTAGGCCTTGCCGCCGCAATCCGGCAAGGACACAAGAGCAGAGGTAAGAGAGAGCCGTCTTACGAGTTTGGCAAAGCAGATATTTGTCGCCCACATCGAGGTGCAGGTCCTCAATACCCAGCTTGCGGTCCTCGAGGTGCATCTTCTTCCGGTCTCGGTCACCAACATCGTCCAACGGCCGCTTCCTTTTATGCGGCGACTCTTCAGACATGGTCGCGTCGGGCTGCGAGTTGCAGCCGTTGACGCTGTGTGCGGGCGTCGGGAGCGTGGCGGTGCTGGCCGCGGCGGACGAGGCAGAGAGTCCCGTCATCGGGTCCGACGAGGTTGCGGGCGAAAAGTTGCAGGGGCTCTGTGGCGTCTGGGGGTGGAAAGACATGATGGGGACGCCTCGAGCCGACGTGACGTGACGTGCCGTGATGGGCCGGGCGAGGCGGAACGAAACGCGACGTGACGTGACTGACCCGACGGCCAGGCGAGCAGTCGGTGCGATGGGCGGAGCGAGCGGCTGTTTGCGCAAGGCCGCTGGCCGAGGTGTCGCTGCGCTGCGATCTCGCTTCTGCTCAGACGGCCGACATGCACAGCGATTTTTTCGTCGTCGGGCTGGGGCACGCGCTGCCGAGAAGCCGGTGGTGTGCAGGGATAGCCGGACAGCGAGGGAGCGGCGGCTCGGCGGTCGCGGGCGACGAGAGCGGCGTCTTGAGCGCAATCGGCGGCGGTCGTAAGCTGGCGTGAGAAGGTCGTGAGGCGGTGTCGCGGGTCGGGTCGGTTGCTTGACAGAGGTTGGAGGCGGTGGTGGTGATGAGGGAAGAGGTGGAGTTGATGGAGGCAAGGTTGTGACGGCCTGAAAGACGAGGCAATTTCCCGGGAAGAGCGAGGGCGGGCGGGCGGCGGCCACCACACAAAGAGCTGGGACCCGGCCTGGCTGGGCAGGGCGGGCGCCGCGCTACCTCGCCTCGACTCACCTCACCACACCTCCCGGTCGCAGGCTGCGGGCGGGCACCTAGTGGTCTGGGCCTGGCAAAGCCTGGGTTCCCAGCAGCTGAGCAGCGCTGGGCCAGTGGGTCCGGGTGGAGTGCGGTCAGCAAAAGCTACCTGCGGCAACGTTGAACGACGACGGGGCGCTCCAGGCCCAGCTGGCTCTCTCACTGACGACCTAAGGTACCTAGGTACGGAGCCGCCCTCCGAGGCAGCCCGGACGGTACGTACCGGACCGCGCCTCACCTGGCACCTTGCGCAACGCTCCGAGTACCTGAGGTGCGTCTAGTAGCACAAGCGCACGCACTGGACGCCTGTTGAAGCACCAACGTCGCACCCTTCGGGGCGGGCTCGTACTGGGGAGCCAGTGCCCCGAGTACAGGCCGCCTCGCGCACAGCGCCGCTAGCCTCCAGCGCGCCAGGCCTGCCCTCCTTCGATGTAACTGCGGCGTCGCCCCCGCCTGACGCGCCTCCTCTCCACGTTGCCGCGGCATGCTCACGTCTCTGGCCAGCCCGGCCGGCCGCTGGCGACGACGGGCCTCCCGACCCTTTGGCGACGGACCGGCGCTGCAGGTGGCCGTTGCTCTGCGCCGGCGCTGTATTCGCATTTCCGCGTTGCTCCAGCCTGTAAGAGCCAGCCATGCGCCTGTCGAGTTCACTGGCAAGCCTGGCCATTGGAGCAAGTCCTGCGCCAGCCCAGCCAGGCAAGTGGGTCTCGCCTGCGGTGTCGCCGGGGCTTCCCCGACCGCCGCTGATTGGTCGTAGCGACGGGGCGGGCGCCACCTGGTTCCCTGTTGGCCCGGTCACGTGCCCTTTCCAACCACACTTTTGTCGGATTCGGCTGGCGCTGGAATTTTCCCTTTCCTTTGATTCATCATAACATTTGACAAGACCACCACATCGTCACATACTCGCCAGCGATGCCTCTGACTCTGCTCAGCCCGATGCTGCTGACGGCTCCGATACGTGGTCGAGAACAACCTCTATAACCTTGCCTAAAACCATCATCACGAGGGCCCCTCGTGCGGCTGCCATGATGCGGTGATGACCTGATGCAAGTGACATTTCCCCGCGTCGTTGACTTGTGCTACCATGCCATTGTGACGACCGACGCTTGATTGTTGTTGTGCGCGTGATTGGCGCGGAGCACGAGGCTGCTGTCGCGCGCTCTTTTCAAGGTGCGTGGAAAAGCTGGCCGTGGCCGCTCGCCAGCGTGATGATATCATTGGTAAACCTACAAACCTTTGCTGCGTCGGACGTCGCTCCTATGCGATCGCCAACCGCTTGGCTACGTGGGGTTGTTTGGCATTTCCTGACTGGCGCAACTCTACTTCTTTGACTCGCCGCACCACTGGAGCGTAGACTGATCAGTCGCTCTAGGTGCCTCTGTAGTCGGAACCGGCGTCTCAATGCCACATGTCTTCGTTCGATGCGGCGATCTACGCGAACATTATGTCTCCGGGACAATAGTCTGCGCCGCCCCTTTCGGTCACTCCTGCGGCGGACACGAGGGCACCGACAGCATGACGGACAGAGTCCCACCCGCAGGCAACCAGTGTTGTTCTGCTTGACGCCCTAGTCGCGCCGAAGCTTCCCGACCGGGCGATATACATTCGATGGCGAGCTTCGATATGACGTGTCAGGCACAGACGTACCATGGCTGCCCGAGAACTTGTTGCATCTGCCATGTAAGCGCCGGACACACGGCGCCTGCGGATGTAACCGTTGCGCGTTGCACTCGCGCCTGGTCGTACTGTTAGTCGGCCGGCGTGATAGGCATGGTTTCATCAGGGAATGGTGACCTCTTGAGCTGTGGCGAAAGAACACTGCCGTCTTGAACGCCATTTGTACGTCTGACGACGACGTGCCACTTGATTGCTGAAACCACCGCTTGCCCGGCGTCGGATCGCACGCTTTGTCGCTGGCTGCAGTTGGGAAGTGATGCGCCGATCAAATGTCGTCGATCTCATTGTTGGCCGCACTCCTCACGACCAGTCGGCGACCTGACTCTGCGTACTCCCACGAGCCCACCAGAGGCTGCTGTCCAGGAGCCAGGAGCCAGGAGACGCGGGAAACGCGGTGACCTGGTTGCTGTGTCGAGAGATGCTACCGAATCATTGGGGTCCGTCTCCCTATGTGTGATACTGCTCTGCAACCGTCGTCTTTCGTTGCCTCCTGGATGTTCGGCCCGGAAGACAGACAACCGGAGACATCCTGTCGCACCTCGCTTCGAGACGGCAGCCCTTCCGGCAATGTTTCCCACGTCAGAAGCGGCACCAAGGTACATATCTGTTGAGCGACTTACACCAAATTGCGGAGAACGGCCGCAGCTTGTGCTTGGTGGGAGCTCACCATGCGCGGCTCGGATCAGCGGATGAGCCATCTGGTGAGGATATCCTCTCGAAGCTGGGACGCAAGTCTCGAATTGGACACGTACGCTCGCCGGGAGAGTGATTATTTGCGATGCAGCAGCGACTGACGGACCTCGATCCGGAGAGTCGACGCTGGGGCGAAGAGGGTCAGATGAGCAGCAGAGCGAGGGGAGGTTGCATGATGGCGACCGCGATTCAGCTTTCAAACCTGTGACCTCGAGTCTGGGCCCGCATAAGCATCTATTGTGAACACTGAATGCAATTCAGCCCACGCGTGATTCTGAAACGCTGCGCAGCGCTTGATTCGTGACGGCGAAAGTACCGAGCGCATCGCGCGCTTGGCGGCTAATACCTAGAAGTACGAGGAGTCATGATGTGGCCTCAGCCAACCTGGCGCGTGCGCTTATTGCACTGAACCGGTGGCATAACAGTAGGGTCTACATGAAAGCAACGAAGACGCCTGCGTCACGACCAATTCAGCTGGGTTCGTCCCAAACCGGTCAAGACAAGGAACACCGCGTCCCGGGGCATGCCAGGATCGCAACCCGCCAGATGGATCTTGATCCAGAAGTCTGGCGCCGCATTCATGCGCTTGAGGGTGTGTGCCTCGACCTCACCTCATGGCCTGCGTGTCAGCTTCGGCGGTCGCGCAACACCTTCCGGCAGCATTGAAACTCAGAAACCACAGCAATGCGTGCGAGTCGATCCGTGAGCGACGCTCAGCGCCTCGTTTCATACAGAGACGCGGTGCCTCCAGACAATGACGGAGTGGGTCGGTCGCCGCAGGTCGCAACCGGGAACAGATGACAACGCTCAGTGGCGGCAGACTTGCGCCCATGTGGGAACATCATGATGGAACTTACTGACTGAATCTCATGCGTGCCGGTACTATGCGCGTCTAACAACCACAATGGGGCAAGTTTTTAGGAATTGCGCCGGTTCTCTCCGTGTCAATGCAATTCTCCGGTCGACGCGCCACGGATATCACCAGGCGTACCTCAACGTGGCCGCGCATTTTCCCAAGTGACGTCGTTTCAAGCCATCTCATGTCGTCAACACAAGAAGAGAAACGCTGACGCCCGAAGAGGAAAGTGTTGCCAAACGGCGGTCCGCCGGTCACTGCCGGGAGCCATGCCGTAGATCCTCTAGCCAGCTGCGGGCAAATGTGGCCTTGCTCTGCTGCATGGAGTCGAGCGCGTCGCCCGTTTCGCCTGGTTGAGACAAGCCCCATCACCTTGATGCTACCTGGGTTAGTTTGGAGATTATGCGACAGCCTTGGCAGTGACTGCAAGTATCAGCATCTACCAGCAGTTCGTGTTCCCTGGTCGGATTGGCCGCGAGGGCCGTCAGCCCGAGAAAGGCTCCCCGACGAGGGGTGGTCCAAAATCCCCAAGGTCTTGGGGGATGCGCACGTAGGCTGCATGAACCTGTGGAGCATTGACGGCCGTGATTGATAACAATGCGGAGCCGAGCAAGATCCCGATTCCGTATACTATCAATCGCACTCTGCCTTCGGACCGCACTGACAAGATGCGGTTCGTGCGCACTCAATCAATGACACTGGATTGGTCTCACAGACTCAAGATCTTCCCGAAGCGGCGTGGGCTAACCCGTCTGGGAGACGGCCAACCCACGAGCTGCCAGGGGCGAGCCCGAGGGCTGAGCAGACGATGCAGACCGGGGGATAGAGAGAATACGGGACTGGCCAGGCATGCCTGGGCTCCAGTGACGTTACCTCGGGGCGATCGTCATAAATTCGACGACGTGCTTAACCTGGCGTTCAATCCGCCGAACCCTGCCGCGAACCAACAGCCACTTCGGCACGTTCGACTATCCGATCCTTGCATATACGATGGTGGTTGAGCACAGAGTCGCATTGTGGCCCCGGTCGGACTCGGGCGGGCCCCGTCTGATTCTCGTCAACGAGCAGCCCCGGCGACAACAGCCACGACGAGGACGTCGACGACGACGGCCGGCGGTGTCGGTCAGTACATACGAGTACGATGTAGGTAGTCGCATAGCATAGCTC